CTTTCTACTCCCGTAAGGATTTACACCCTCGGAAACCCTGTACAGGGTCACTATGGGTCGGAACCGACTCGAAGGCACTTAACAACAACAACAACTGCAAGCTCAGCAACTGAAACCTCCTTTGGATACCCTGTACAAGGTTACTATGAGTGAAGTGACTTATTTAGCTGTGTTGACGTCCATGGTTTGACTGGCAGCATAGTCAAGCCTCTGTAATAATGACTATATTGGAATAATAGCATTGGAAAACTCTCGATTTGACAAATAACGACCATTTCATTTTGGACGGAAGGAGAGGTAGCTTACCAGAGACATACATATGAAAAATACACCAGTAGTATTGAGAAAAATAATTTTAAATGTACATACATATCTGTCCTGTCTGCAGGTCATAGTCAAAGGCATCCACAGAGTAGGATAGGCTGTCAATGTAATAGAAGATCTTGTGATCTAGGGACCAATCCAAACCATTGGAGATGTCCACTTGGTCAAAGTATTTTTTCACATGGTGGTCAGGAAAGAGGGAGTACAGCGATCCTTGGTGCCGCTCAAGAACTGCTGGTGCTGTTTCTTCAGCCATCGTGCCTACAAAAATCAAAGAGCACTAACCTTAGCCCCACACCTCTTGCCCCAAGCACTGTACCATCTTCCTTGTCCGCAGAGTCTTTCCAGGGTTTAAATCAAGAAAATTATTATACAATCCCCCATCTGTGTCTTTTTTCTAATGAGAACTACCTTGCAAGTTGAGGAGTGTGGTGGCTGAAGGATAAACACTGGATGGAGAACCACAATATCTGAGGTTTGAGCCCACCAGCCACTCATGAGAAGATGAGACTTTCTGCTCCCACAAAGATTTGCAGCCTCCGAAACCCTACACAGGAATCGACTCAAACGGCACTTAACAACAACAATCTCGAAAATTAAAATTATAAGAGGTTTTGGTTCCAGCTAAGATGGAATAAACTCACATCAGCCTATTCTCCCACTAAACACAATGACAGAACCTAGACAGAACATATGACACAACTGTTTGAGAAGCAGATGGAGCAGGGAAGAACACTGGAGTCTGAATTGGTACTCTATTTAGTTTGAACCCAGAAGAGAAAATTCAAGAGAAATTCTTTAGATATGGCTTAAGGAGCAGAAAAGGAAATTCCTGAAGCTCAGAGAGAGTAGGGGAAAGCCTCCATTCCCACCTCACCCCCCACTCCTTTCTCTCCATTTTCACAAACACTGATCCTCTGGCAACTCTTGTTTCAAAGGTAGCCACAGTTGAGTGGAGAGCAACAGGAAATGAATGATAGGAACCAGAGTTTCCTTTCCTTCTGGTGAGGCTGCAGCTCCTAAACGGCAGAGCCAAACTGCTTTTTTTTTTTGCATTCTCTCTGTGTCCTCTTGCTGTGTGGCCCAGAGATGGCACAATCAAATGAGTGGGTAGTTTCTGGTTGAAGAACTGGGAAGGAGACTCTAAGAAACCAGAAAGTACCAGGAGTGAGTGAAGAGGGAGGAGCTCGGGAGTATGATCCCAGAAAGCTGTTTATGATCTCCTGGGCTTATCCTGGATGCATGGCTCTGATTCGAATTAGCTGATTTGGGAGGAAGTAGATTGCTAAATCTGTCTTCTGAGGTGGATTCAAACCTAAGGGATATTCAAAGATTATTTGTATTATTCTTCCTTTATTTTCTATAAATTTGAAATTATTTCTAATTTCAACATCATCAACAACGATTTAAAAAACCCCACACAAAACCCTGTATTTAAAACTAATTAAAACTACAATTAGGGTCAGAGGAAAAAAGGAAGACCCCCAACGAGATGGACCAGCCAGGTGGCATCATTGATGGACTCAAGTGTGGCAGCGGTAGTGAGGTTGGCCCAGGATCGGACATTGTTTCGTTCTGCTGTGCATGGGGTCGCTATGAGTCAGTTCTGACTCGATGGCACCTGACAACAACAACAACAAAAAAACTACAAAAGTACCATACATATTAATCTTTGTTAGAAACAGAAATTGAAAGGAATACTTATGAAAATTTTATCATTTTTAAAAAACGGTGATACACTTTACCACTACAGCAGTGAGCCTTTTATTAGTCGTGTCATGGCTTCCTCCAAAGCTCAATAAAAGTTTAATCATACCAGCAAAGTATCTCCCAGCAGGATCCACCTTTCCATCATTGAATCGATTGTTTTTCTTATCTTTATCCACAGTGGCCAGGACAACTGTTGACTGATCTTCCCAGTTCAAAGCACAGAACTTTGTTCCAACTGTGGCAACATAGCCTCCAGACTGGCGAAGGGCCACAGAGCTGACAGGGGCATCTACAAAGGCAAATGTAGCTGTCAGAATGCAGCAAGTAGGTCAACAGTCAAGTAGCACACCGAGACCATCACCCACCTGGCATCTCTTAGAGAAGGAGTCTAGTTCTTTCAACAATAAGAGTGTTATCTTTCTTCGACTGAATGATGATATATATCAAGGTCAGTGGTTCAAAGTCACCAGTTGCTCCTTGGAAACCCTATACAGGGTAGCTATGAGTTGGAACTGACTTAATGGCACTTAACAGCAACAATATATATGTGTGTGTGTGTGTGTGTGTGTGTGTGTGTATACATAGATGTATGTATATATACATATATATGTAATGCTACTGAATTGTACATGTAAAAATTGTTGAATTGGCATATGTTTTCACACACACACAAATCCTATGGATTACAACAGTCTGATCAGCCACCAATCTTGGGGATGGTACAGAATGAGGCAGCATTTCTGGTTCCGTGTGCATGGGGCAACAGCAACAACAGAGCTAAGGTGAGTGAGTGTTGGGATCTGAGAAACTAGGGGAGGAAATGGACTGCTCCTCCATCTGACCTCAAAGGTCACTAGTTACACTAGTTACACAGTTACAACCCTAGCAGAATTTAAAAAGCTGTTTTCTCTCATTAAAGAAATGTCTGTGGTCCCCAGTTCTCAGCTCTTAGTGGCTCCTTTCTCAAGCTTATAGCAATTCCTGTTATTCTTTCCCAGGACCACAATAGTGAAACCAAGAGTTTTCTTTCACATTAAACTCATCTCCTTGGGCTATAGGATCTGATAAACAACCTCTATGGGAAAACATGGAGTCGTGGTGTGGCACTCTAGGATAAGCACTCGGCCATAATGTCGGTTTGAACCACAAGGTCGGTGGTTCAAACTCACCAACCGCTTCTTGGAAACCCTATACAGGGCCGCCATGATTCGGAACTGGCTTACAGCACTTAACAACAACAACATAGGTAAACATATGGTCATTAACTGAATCACACTCAAAAGTTCTTGAATTTTGGTCATGAATGCTTTTTTGTATACTCAACAGACAGTCCCTGGTTGATGCTTTATAAGTCCAGAGGCTCTTTTTTTCACATTTAAAGAAGAGATTTTCTTGTCATTTTCTGGTAAATTAAGGCCTTAGAGTGATCCACAGCAGACAGCTTTTGCAGGGCCACCAGTAGATTCTACAACTTTCAATGTTATCATCTGGAGTTGTTAAGGTATCTTTATACCACAAGCAGTTGGGCATGCTGTTCCTCATCCACAGAGGAAGAGGATAGTAATAACCATCCATAATTTACTTCTGGATCAAAGCACACGGAATACAGACAGATTGCCTAACCATCTCAAAGTTGTAAACCATATACAATATATAAAGTACAGTTTGACAAGAAGATCCCAGACAGGGAGGGCAGTGACTGACCCTGCACAGGAAAGAGATGACTATCTGCAAAGATCAAAGCACAGCCTTTCATCCTTACCCACAGTCACTTGCTGCACTTGCTTGGTAAGTGAATCCCAGCGGCAAACCTTTTTTGCAGGAATATCTACAAAGAGCAGAGACCTGGTTCTTTCCTCCCACACTGGAGACTCACCACACCGGCAGTTCTTTGGCAAAACACATTCAATCTTAATGGAAGACATCGTCAAAGTAGAAATCTATTGAAGGTAAAAGAGAGAAAATGAAACGGTAGCCACATGGAGCTAATTAAGTAAAACACCTGACTTACTTAACTCCCTGCTAAGATCCCAATACAGACTATTTTATTAAAACTGGAAAAACTGATTTTGCAAAATCAGAACAAAATAAGCTATGCAATGTACCAAGAGAGATCGATAAGAATGCTTCCAAAAGTTCGTGGGCAAATGGAATTAAATGAGAATGGAATTTTCCCACGAACTTTTGGAAGCCTCTTCTTACATGAAAAAGAAAGATGAGCTGAAAGAGACCTCTTCAGTCAATTTACCTGTGGTTTTTCCAAGCTACCTTTTAAAAGAGAGAGACAGCAAAAGCACCACTCCAACACTTAAAACCTTGGCGTGCCTGACCCTCAGAAGAGTGGATGGTTTAGACAGTGTAAGGGCTGCCCTTTATGCCAACACCCCGGCCCCAAGGCGGGCCTGGAGGTGGGGCGGCTCCCTTATTGGTGGCCCCTCTAGGCGGCTGCAGATCACCTTCACCTGCTGTCCTGCTCCTATGTGGAGTCTCTTCTTTGACCACTAGAGCCGTGCTGATCATTTTAAATCCAGAACTGCATTTTTAGAAATAGGTCCACAGTGACAACACACATTTTCAAATTCAGGCAACACAGAGGGTTAGAGGAAAGACCATCATCTGGGCACCACTGTAGAAATTGACAGTCCCATAGTTATTTCTATACGTCAGAACCTACTCAGTGACAGTGGGTTGGTTGGTTTGTGTTGGTAGTTATTTCTTGCTGCCTAGGAAGGAACTGTGCCAGTTGGCAAGGAATCTTGAACTCCAGACAGGAACATTCTATGCCTGGGACTTTAGGCCAGAGACGGACTAGTAAATTGGGAGAAGGATAAAAGAAGATTAAAAAAAAAGATCAGAAACAATATCAAACATTACCTTAAAAAACCCTGTGGAAGAGGAAAATGAAAAACAGACACCGTTCAAGTGTCTTCTTTCCTTCCCAAACTGACCTGCGGAGGTTAACGATCAAAAAATAAAAATTTAAAAAATGTCTGCACCTTCATTTTTCTTCCGGGGCTGCTATCTGCTTTCAAGTGACCACACATGAAGGCAAATGGATAATGGTGGTGTTGTTAAGCGCTGTTGAGTCGGTGCCGACTCATAGAGACCCTGTGTAGCGTTTCGGAGGAGCCTCTGGTTGGGTTTGAACTGCCAACCTTGCAATTCAAGCCGATGTTGCGGTCCCGTGTTTATCCTACAGTGTTACAATGTTGTTGTTTTTGTTAAGTGCCGAGAAGGTGGTTCCGATTCCTAGGGACCCTGTATAGGGTTTCTGAGGAGCGGCTGGTGAGTTTGAACCACTGACCTTGCGGTTCAGACAGACTTTGCACTCCAATGTTTATCCTATAGCACCACACCAAGACTACAGAATAAGGGAGGGAAAAAATATTTGCTCTAAAGCTCTGGTAGCGTAGTGGTTACGAATCGGGCTGCGAGCCTTAAGGCCAGCAGTTCGAAACTACCAGCTGCTCCGCGGGAGAAAGATGAGGCGTTCTGCTCCCGTAAAGATTTACAGCCTCGGAAACCCTGTACAGGGTCGCTATGGGTCGGAACCGACTCGACGGCACTTTGCAACAATACGAAAATTAGGATTTTTTTTTTTTTTTTTAGCAGCACATAATGTATACAGCTCAAATCAGCCACAAATACTAACTACCAGCATCTGGAATGTTTATTGACACAGGCGCCAAAGGCCTTCTTTTTATCAGTCTTAGATAAGGTACAAGATCAGATGCCTGACTTTTGCAATAGCAGTTTTTAACTTCACGCTCTGTCGTGCTAGCTAGGGACTGGTAAATGTTCCATTTCGGCCTGGCTTCAGAAAGCCCAGTCTGAAAAGGGGCTGTGGCTGAAAGGGTGGGGAGGGAGAGGGGTCGTCAAGTTACCTGGGGTTGAGGGGCCTCACACAATCCTGTATCGCTACTGCAGGTGCAGATGGAGCCCGCCTCCTGGTCTGCGTGGGACGTGGGCCACGGCGTGGGCGGAGGGCAATCGCTCACCTTCCAGCGGCCCCTAGTGGGGAGACATGGCCTGGCAGGTCCTGATTCTCTGTTGCTGGAGGTGGCGGTGGGGGTCGGGATGTGGGGGTGGGGGACAGGAGGTGGGACGGGGAAGTTGGCCCGACAGGGACACTTCTAGGGCTGCTCAAAGGTCAGGCAGAAAAGCAAGGGGAGGAGAAAGGGACAC